TGGAAGCTTTATAAATAGAATTCTAGAATGTCATGGCATCAAAAGTCCAGAGTGAACTGGACTCTTCATGGGGATTAGAACTCTAGATTCTTACATGTTGTTGCTAGCTCAGGCAGAGTCGTAATCTAATAATACTCCTATTACCGTTAAATGGTGTTGGATTTTTGAGGATCCTCAAGGGTCAGGCATGAGGTACTTCAAACACTGGAAACAAATGCTGCACTCAAAATCCCCCATCTGCAGCAGCTTGCTATTGTGCCTTCCCACCCTGGTTAATCTTCTCCTTATCCTTTAGTTCTAGATCAACAATCTTGCTGAGGACGACATCTTCTTCCCCATTGTATTGGATACCAAGAGTTTCCCCCAATTGTAGAGTGGCTTTGGCTTCAGTGAGTAGATAGTTGTTCAAAGGCGTAGCTCCCTCAGATAGATCTGATTGTGCAAAGGTAGCTGCTGCTGGCCTAAAGATGGCAGATTTAGATTGTTTGCTAATTGCAACTGATGTGAAGGCATGAAGCCTAGCAAAGCTTGTGAACCCCTCTAGGTGAGACTTCATCTTCCCTTTTTGTTTCTCTTTTCGCAGTAGAAGATTAGAGGAAGCAGATGGTGAATATCGACTTCTTTATTGATGCCCAAATAGATTGAAATTGAAACTGAAAGACTATGAAGCATATATATGGGTATGAGTATTGGTACAATACAGATACGTATGTACCATAAAATCTAAAAAAAATAAGGTATGACTTGGTACGTTTGTAAAAAATATTTATTTTAAATTTAGACTAATGTAAAAAATTGATTAAATGGTTTAATTTGTTAGGATCCAACCTACCATTAACATTTAATGCAAAAACTAAAGGTATAAATTAAAATTATATTAATAACTTACAAATCATAACTTAATTTTAAAATCATGCTAAGCATAAAACGAAAAATAAAAAAGTGGTCTAGTCAAAGAAATTTTATCTTTGTAGTAGAAGAAAATTTTGATTCAACTGAGGTACGATACGGCTTGAGTATATATTTAGTACGTCTGGATACGCCAAAAGATTAAGAAGAAAATTTGGGTACATACTTTGTGTAACCGGTACGTATGCAGAAGTACCATATACCGGTAAGTACCCGGTACGGGTACGACATGTTTTTCAAAGTATCCATACTTCATAGTTGAAAGATCATTGATAGAATTGATCCACAACGAATTGAGAAACTTCAACATGACTTATGGTATGATTCGTTGATGGGTAAGACTGATCAATTAAACATGCATTTCTTCAGGAATTCACAAACCTTCTGTCTTTGAGTCAGTCCGCTCTACGGTTTTCTGTTTTCCCTAGTGTAATTAATAAATTTTGAGATAATCATTATCTTGTAAATTTAGAATAATGGATCACCAAATCTAATCAACTAGTGCCTCTGATGCATTCTTGAATATATATATATATATATATATATATATGATTTCAAATTATTAAATTTGGTTTGAAGTATTGTGTACATGAATTTTGGTCCATGGAGTAGAAATGTTGATGTGTGTATGGATAAAAAGTTAACAACTCCAAAAGCGCCATTTCCTGTTCATATTATCGTGTTTCTTTCCTTATTAGCATTGTTTTTCCAATAAGAAAATTCATTTGTTGTTCTATCATCGCATGGCTTTACCTCGTATGGGTTGCATGATTGGTCTTTTGCAAGTGCAACTTTGTTATGTGAAGCCAGAATAATGTTTTCCTCAATACCAATGTAGCATTGATGCTGCATTTGGACGTTAAGGGAACAATTGCTGTTAAGTTTGCCCATGTGCTCCCATGTAATGTGTGTTATATTTATACACAATCAGAATATCATAACAAATAAATAAATAAATAAATAAAAATGAAATTTATAGTGTCTCAGAGGTTGGAAATGTGGGTATATAAAAGAGTTTTGCTATATATACAAACAATATTTTTATACAAAAAAATTTATACAGAATAATGTGTTTTTTGTGACTTTTAATTTGAAAAATACCATCAACTTATCATTTCACATAAAAATTGTCTATAAAAATTATGTTTATGTAACCTTTTTTCTTCGCAAAAGAGAAAAGATGTTAGTTGAAACTAGGATATGTGTTTGTTAACTTAAAGGTATGGCAATGCAAGGGAGGCATCACGAGTAGACTAGGATCACCTTTTTGCAAAGGTGAAAGTTCTCAAATCAAAAGCTTTTTGGTTTTAGGCATGTGATGTACCTTTTGTTAACAATATTGTGTAGGGCTGAGCAAGTAATCCGTGAAATCCGTAATCCGATCCAGTCCAGTCCAATCCGATAGGTTTGGATTGGTTTTTTGAATCCGCGGTTCGGTTTCGGATTGAATAATTAAAAATCCGTAGTCTACGGATTGGTTCCGGATTGAACCCCACGGTTCCGGATTGGAACCGATCCGGACCGTATATAAATAGTCTATATTTTTATTATACATCCTCCCCCATAGTATCTTCTCTTAATTCTATATAAAATCTAAACTCAAACCTAAAACCGTATAATATATTCTTTTATTACTTTTGTTTGTTGTTTTTTAGTTTTAATTTGTAATGGTTTAAATACTTATAGTGAAACCAGTTTTCTTATGGTTATTTAAATTTTAGAACAGTATGTCGCTATTATAGAAAAATATGTTGTTATTGTGGAACTAACATAGCGCTATGTTTAAATTTTTATAAAATTAAAGTGTTATATATATATTTTTGTTATTTAATTATGTGAATCCGTGGTCCTAAACCGATCCAATCCGTATTTAAATGGATTGGTTCGGATTGGTTCCATGATTTAAACGGATTGGATTGGTTCCAATTTTTTAGGAACAGTAGATAACAGATTGGTCCTAGTTTTATCTTAATCCGGTCCAATCCGGACCATGCTCACCCCTAGGTATGCTAGCATGCTCATGTTGCATTAGATTTATATCATGCCTGAGTTGTTTACATGCTTGCTTGCATGCTTAGGTTGCATTGCACTATGTGTGCATTCCCTTGCCTCTTGATCAAGCATGATAGAGGTTGGGAGACCTTATGTGTTTTGTGCATTTTATTTGATATTGAATTACACACTTGGCTCCTTTGGCCATCATGCATTGAAATGCATGATTGATGGCTCGAGGGTTGAGGACTATACTCCCTTGAGCTCATGACATGATAGGGAGGGTGGTGGTGCAAACATTGTCTTGTAAATGCATTGCCATGTTCTGTTTGTCCTCTGTTGCAGCAACAGGAGTAGTCTGCGGGAAGAAATGGTCGACCGACCATATTCAGTGCCGATCAGCTAAAAGTGTTTGGCCGATGACCTCATAAATGATCAATGACACCATTCATTTGGCCGATGGCCTTATCTTTTGGTTGATGACCTCCCACAGTATACATGAGGTGGTTCAACAGTGTCATAGAAGCTAGCACAATTTTCAGAAGTACAGAGCAGTGCAAACAGAGGCAACATGTGGCATGGCAACGGATTTTCGAGCGAAGCCGACCGAGCATGCATTTGTCCCTCTTCTCGAGGCCTCTTTACTGTTTTTCGTAGCTTGATTAATTTGTTAATTATTTAAGTGTTGTAATAATTAGTTGCAGCTAGTTATTCATTTGATTATGTAATAATTAATTAGCTTGTTAGTTAGTTAATTAGATGGTTTGTATTATTCTTTCGGTCTCTCCCTCGAGAGAGCCAATTGGTGTAATAAGCGTGCGTGTGTGTGATGCATGTCTTCCAAACCCACTTCTTTCCCCCTTTTACTTAACCGCTTACGATGGTTAGTTTTAGGACATATCTCATTTAGCATATCTTATGCTCGCATGTTTGCATCCATTCATCTGTATTGCATGCACCGGGCTCGGCGCATCATACTAACTGCATCATATTTCAATTCCAAGTTGAATACATGTATCGAATTGTCATATCCCATATGCCATTTTAGAATAGCCGAGCCTATTCTAGTTGCATTTTGCATGTGTTGCATTAGTCATCTTAACATGAACTAGGATCATGCATGATTTCTAACTAGTTCTTTGTTTTGGCTCGGAGTACACTGTGAGTATTTACGCTTTAGCATCTTGCGTATATGTGAGTGTTAAACATGACAGCATGCTTGCCATGAGGCTAATTACTTATGTGATATAACTGCCTGAATGCTTGTGAATGAAGGTTGGATTACTTGAATTGGAACCAACTTTTGTTTTTTTTACTGTCTTTACAAATGAAATGTCTTATATGTATGGACTATGGAGGAGCTATGATCTGTGCAGCTGTCCAGGAATTGACAATTTCAATCTCCTTTTTTTGGCGGGATCATATCATGGATATAAACGGCCAAATGTTTGGCACAGATGAAAATGCCAAATCGGCAATCATGTCTACACTAATCATGCACTGAAAGTGACTTCCATCTTAATATATATATATATATTAATGATGGGTGTAAATATGATGTGTTTATAATTTTATAATTAAAATTTTAAATGGTTTAGTGATTGAGGATTACTTTGATAAATGAGAAAAAACAGTTAATAGTTTTGAATAGTTTAATAAATAAAGAAATTATTCAGCAATTATTGGACATGACATATACTAAGACGTGATTTCATTTCTTATCCTATCTTCTTTTTATTTTTATTTTTTGAGTTTTGAGTAAGCTTTAGATCTTTATAAACCTAAAAATATTTGAAGTCACAAAAGCATTGGAGCCTATGTAATCTCTTAAATTCTCTTTTAGCAAGTATACATAATAAAATTACCACCGTCCAATTTTCTTTGCTTCTTCAATGTTGTTTTCTACTAAGCTAATTAATTAGTCTATACTGACATTGATTGAGAGGTATAGATTTTCTTGTTAGCTCTTGTTTGAGGAAAATATGCTGATATGCACTTTGTGAGGCTATAATATAATAACCAACCAAGGCCTCAAGTCCTCTGTGATTCTGACACGTGTATGGTGGATCAGCTCCTCTCCTCCCCTCACCTGCATTATAAATAGCAGTCAGGGCCTCCAACCTTTGAAGCAAAACAATTCAATTTCCTCTGAAATCACTTTCCATTGTTCTCTATTTCTCACCCCCCAAAAAAAAAATGTCTGGCTGTGGAGGAAACTGTAACTGCGGCTCTGACTGCAAGTGCGACAGTAGCTCCAAGTATATCTTTTTCTCTCCCCCAACCTCACACTCCAATTTTCTTGCCATTTTTTTGTTTCCCCTATAAAGTAGTTTCCTCTCGTTAAAAAAAAAGGTTCAACATGTACATAAAAATTAGTAAGTGTTTATTTATTTCTTTATTTTGTGTGAAAATTTATCGGCAGATGTGGGATGTACCCTGACATAGAGAACACCACCACTACAACCATCCTGGCTGGCGTTGCACCACCAGTGAACATGTACGTATCACCTTCAACATTTCACGGAGTTCAAATTTTTTTGTTTGGGAATAAATAAAAAATAAATTTGATTATATACCTATATGGATATGGATTGTAAGTTGTGGATTTCTTGTAGGTACTCTGAGGGATCGGAGAAGAGCTTTGGAGCAGAAGGAGGGCATGGTTGCAAGTGTGGATCAAACTGCAAGTGTGACCCTTGTACCTGTTAAAATGAACAAATATGGATTTCAAGCAAAGCAGCAATATGGCTTGACATGAATGAAAAATAAGGAATGTCTGTGCTTTTGTGTTTGTATGTTGGAAAGAGTCTTAGGGTTATATAAAGCAAAATAAGATAGCCATGGACTTTTGAATAGTCCAACTGTTTGGATTGTGTAGATGTCTTTTGTGGCTACTTGTCAAGCACTTGTGTTTGCTTTGTGGAGTTTGATGTATGTCTATGAAAAGGTGGAGTGGAAACAAACATGATATGAATATACCTCCTTCAATTGTTGTGTCGTCTATATTTGCATATCTTTTGACAATTTTTTTAAATTTTTTTTACTTACGTGTGCTTTTAGGGCATATGTTACGAAATTAACAAATATGGTATATTATTTATAAAAATGAGTGTAAAAAATAAAGAAAAATTATCCATAAAATCTATATGGGGTAATATTGATCCATTTTTATGAATTGAATGGTCTGTTTGATTTGGAAAGGTAAATTTATTTGATTTGGATTTATTTGATTCAACTTGTTTACTCTATTGGTTGATTTAGTTGCTATCCATTCTGATTTAGTATGCTACGAGCATGGTAATGTGTATAATGTTTCTTTCTCTTTGAGTGATTAGGGGGATGATTTACTATGTTTATTTTTGGTGGTTGATGTGGTTTTTTGCAAATGTGAGAAACTATTTTGTGAGGAAGGTGGAAATCATATTTGGTAGTGTGGTTTTCTGTTAGAGTAGTTAGGTTTGCATTTTGTTGGTCTGCTCAACTTGTCTCAAGGTGGGTGTGTGTTACGATCACCTTCGTCGGATCGCAACATCTTAGAATTAATTCGAGTCTTTCGACCCGTTGTGAGCTTTGGTTACGGAAAAGAAAAACAAAAAGAATTTAGAGAGAGAGGGAACCTCGTTCGAAAGAAGCTAAATCTCCAAGTTGACTAGTAAATAGTCTTTTCTGATTATATTTCAAAAGCATCCCTAATACATGACTCAAGGACTCTTTAAATAGATATAGATATGTGCAGATTTGTGATATGTGCATGATCCTATTTTCTAGGACATGAACAATATACAACCCACGACAAGACTCCACTACCTAGCACAACTAACGCCTCAAACTTGGTAAACTAAAACAATATACAAAACAAGGATAATAATAAAGGACAGGTCGTGGGACACGCCCATGCATGCACGTATCATCCCTCCCTGTTGAGAGCTTCCTTGTCCTCAAGGACAAAATCAGTGTACCGTAGTTTGAAGTCCGCCAAATCTTCCCATGTAGCTTCCACCGGCGAATGATTCTTCCAATGGACGAGCAGTTGCTTGCCAGTTGGCCGAACACGGGTTTCTAATATGGCTTGCGGCAGGACAGGCTGATCAGAAAGATTGGTATAAGCTGGGGGCGCGCTTTGAACCACGGCTTCAGGACCAATTCTTTTCTTGAGGAGTGAAACATGAAACACGGGATGAATTTTGCAATCAGTTGGCAAAGAGAGTTTGTAGGCCACAGGACTGATTTTATGGATGATCTGATAAGGGCCAAAAAACTTGGGTGACAATTTCTGGTTGAACTGTTTGGATAGACTGGATTGCCGATATGGTTGTTTCTTCAAGTAAACCCAGTCACCGACGGAAAACTCAACCTCGCGATGCTTCAAATCATAAAGTTGTTTCATTCGATTTTGGCTCAACTGTAACCGGTGACGAATCACCCGTAACATCTCATCCCGAGCTTGTAGAGCTTGGTCTATGGCTTCAAGCTTAGTAGTGCCCGGAATATAAGTAAGCAGTGATGGAGGAGTTCGACCATAGATTACTTCAAATGGTGTGGATTTGGTTGCGCTATGAGAGGATGTGTTGTAGATGTACTCAATCCATGGCAGCCAAGTGGTCCATTCCTTAGGTCTATCTGAAGTGATACATCACAAGTACATCTCCAGGGTACGGTTGACAACTTCCGTCTGACCATCTGTTTGAGGGTGGTATGCCGAACTAAAATTGAAATCAGTTCCTTGCAGTTTGAAGAGAGTAGTCCAAAAAACACTTGTAAATGTAGGATCGTGATCGCAGACGATGCTTTCGGGCATGCCATGTAGCTTGAAAACATTCTCAAAGAATACTTGGGCCACTGTGACAGCAGTGTAGGGGTGCGCCAAAGGCATGAAGTGGGCATACTTGGATAGGCGATCAATTACTATG